TGTGTGTGTGTGTGTGTGTGTGTGTGTGTGTGTGTGTGTGTGTGTGTGTGTGTGTGTGTGTGTGAACACACTAAATTGGTCTTTCCTATGTTTTATGTCTTTCCACTGAATTTTAATGGTTCGTTTATGTGACAAACTGAAAATAAAAGCCATGTGTATAGGTTCAGCTCACCCACTCTGAAAAACTATTTCTGTCAAACCAAATGCTGACAATTTTGGTTTGATTTGCAAAGATTTTAGATTTTAATACTCTGAAAGTTAAATAAAATATTTGTTTTCCTTCTAATTATAGAAGAAAATAAATCTTCATAGGACACAAAATGGGACAGCAGTTGTCTTGCAGTTCATAGCAATAATTAATCAATGCTACTATTTTTTATTATTACTGTATCACAACCAGCAACATCAACTTTGATCTTAACACCAAAAGCTAGTTTCATTTGCCAAATAAACTTCCCTGTATTAAAATGTACCCAAGACCAGGAAATGAGTTGAATAAACACTAGCAGTCCTTTTTTAGTATTTCTGTTTTTCTTGAGCACATTTAAAAAGGATAAAGCAAAATTCATCCCATAAAAGTTAAGTTGTTCCAGAGTTAGTCACTTGCTAACCTCCATCCACAGTCCCTCGCATTTCAGTCAGCTAAAAACCAGTTCTTGTTTTTTTTTCATATCCTCAAATATTGCCATTGCTCATGCTTTTTTCTTTTTTCTTTTCTTTTTTTCCAAAATTGGTGTTAGCTTCTTTTAACTTTGTATAATAGGAGTCAAAATTAGAACTTTGAAAAAAAATGTCTCATAAACAAATGTATTCAGAACAATAACACATATTTTTGTGGCTCAGCTTTTTATGTTCAGTGTTCTATATAAAAAACGTGGTATCTATATTTTTAATCAATAAAATTAAAGAAAAGGAAAGTAATAGAAAATCAAAGTCTACTATTTTTGCACTGTGAGCAAAAACAAGCAAATTAACTAACTGATTACATTTTTAATCTATCAAGCTTAAAGTCAGAGCTTTTATAGCCCACAATAATATATACTATAAATAATTTAATATATACTGTATATAATATACACTAATATGTGACCCATCACATCAAAACGAGGATTAAGTCTAAAAGCAGTCTTTGGAGAAATAGGCAAATATAGTGTTTTGATTAAAATGTTAACAAAAATTGCATTTTGTCAAAATATAATGAATAAAAGCCTTATTAAGGTATCATTTAAATGAACTGCCTGAAATATAATCATAAAACAAAGTTTTGAAACACTTTTTTGAGCAATAGCAACAAAAAAAACTGATTTTGAGGAAAAACGCCTTAAAATGTTGAGATTTTCCCTGTGAGTTAGCAAAATTTTGTTTCTTTTAGCTGGGAAATCTCAATGTTCAAATATAATTTGAGGTTTCCTCTTTATAAGGACATCAAAAACTCCTCATTAAAATGACATAAAACTAGGATTCAGACCAAATATTTATGTATTATTGTAACCAACAAGACAAATTAAGTCATATATAAGGATTTAATTAAGATATCAGAATGATCCAGGTATCAAAATGTAGCTTTTAAAGACAAGAATCTGAAAATGTAATTAGGTCATTTTGACCAAATTTGACTTAATCCTCATTTTGATGTGATGGGTCACATATACAGTATAATAACTATATTAACTAATAAAAACAAAAGCCTCACAGAATAATCTGAAAATTATAAAACTGAGTAGGTGTCATTTTCTGGGCAAACCGAAATGTTTGGAAACTTCCATTTGAACTGAACACAATTATCCCTCAAATAATGTCTTCATCGTGACATTATATATTTCTTTCTAAAAGTGCTGGTGAGCATCAATTTGATTATTTGAACAGTTTTTAGTTTTATATCACTTATTCTTGAGCAATACTGCCATCTCCAGTGTGTTAAGTTGCCAATTCAACCCAAACTATTAACAGAGCTAAATGTAACATGTCTCATGTGAAAAAAGGCTGCTCCTTACTTTGCAAGACATAAGAGTTCTGTTCTTCTTCACCTGGTTGTGAGACTTTTTTTCCACATGGGCATTTTACTCAAGAATGAAGTGTGGCCAGAAGTGGTCAGCCCTCTCACTGCAACGCATGTCACACACAAACAGAAACAAATGCACAGACGCAGCACGCCTGGCAGAAATGGGTGTTTTTCTTCAGTTGAGGATGGAGGAGTTGGTGGTGGAAGAGAAGAAAAGTTAGAAGAGGAGGAGGATGACAGTCTGGTATTTCTGTGGTCAATCAAGGATCAGCACTAATTTACAAATTTGTCCTAAAGAGAGACGGTGAACTTTTGATGTGTCCGTCACCTGTTAGAGGCATACTTCCTCCTGGCCAGCACAGCCACAGAGAGCCACTTGTGTCTCCACGCTGTCTCCTCCATGCACAGAAAGTCATGTATCACTTTCAAGTTCTTTGAGTAACAGTTGTGAAGATGGTTGTATTTTCTAACAACCTCAGCCAGCTTCTCCTTAAAGGAACAGCTGAAGCAAGAATAAAAGCAGTGTACTTCAGCCACTTTTTTTTTGCATAAACACCACCAAAAACCTCTGACTGATCACACGATGTGTTTTGGTAGTTGATGCAATGCAATCTCACAACTATGGTAACAGGAACAAATTTCTTGACGTCTCACCAAGTATGAATCTGACCTAATTCTTGTAAAAAGATCTTGTCAAATTTTAATTTGAAACATATTAAGCAAAAAATAATTACCTGCAGTCAAAGAACAAACAACAAAATCTGTTTACTATTTATTTTTTACGATCTGCTTTGGTGACAATGTTTAAATAAAATGTATTGTTTTTATCCCTTATTTATTATTTGTGTTTTTATGACTCATGAGTGCAGCTATTTCCTTTTAAATATATTTTTTTAAGAATGGAAAACCATAAATGCTCTTTCTTTTGTTTTATGCTTTACCTGTGTGTGTCCTTTGCACTGTTCCCCTAGCGACTTGTGCTGAACAAACTCAACCGAAACAAAATCCTGCATGTTTGTTACTGATGTCCCCATGTTCTGTGTGCTTTTTTCATTTCCCTGTGGCATTGCTGTTTCTCTTTGGAGTCAACAGAATCCCGGGTGAACAGCCAATGCATCATTCTTGTGTGTTGTTAGATTTGTTGTGGACAGCTGTTCACCTTACCAAGTTGTCGTATTGAACATTGTGAAAGGGCATGCTTGTGGTGAGATGACTACAAACTGTTGTCCAGCAGGGGGGATCAAATCTGAGCTCTCACTTAGATTAAAGATCATTGCATTGCAAACTACCTTGAGCAGGAAATAAATGAAATAAAATAGTTTGGTCTTTCAGACTTGAAAACCTTTGCTGTTAAACAGATTGTAGAAGTGTGTGTAAAATAAATTACTGTCCTCGATATGATTTATTTTGGTAAGAAAAGATTCAAGTAAATGCAGTGTTAAGATGGATTCTTCATACTGAATAAAAAGTTTCATTTAAACACCTATGGAGTTTTTTTTTTCTTTTTTTTTTAAATTGTTGAAACATGTCAGTACCCAATTTTACCAGCAGATGGCAGTATTTATTCAAAATAGATTCTGGTTCTCTTTCTTATGTGTTTTATGTTTTCTTGTTTCCCTGCTTAAACACACTTGATTTGCACGAACGCATGGTTAACATGTGTCTACAGAATTTGGAAATGTAACTGTCTCATTGAATCAGACGTGTTGGAGCAGAGAAACAAGGAAGGCAGTGTACCAACCTTCAAGGAAACTGATAGACATTTCCTCAACTCGGCTTATGGAACCAGTTGACACAACTTGGTTAAGTAAATTCAACACTTTTTACTTATATTTTTACTTTCCCGATCATTCGGCCTCATGCAAGAACGTGTTTGTATTCTTATCCTACATTTATCTTACTTTTGTTCATATGAAGGGTTCATACCAATGTAAGGGTTTAAGGTTACACTTCGTATAACAAGGTTATAAGAGTAATTTAATCAGCAAGGATCTCTTTTATTTTGGATAAACACTTCTTTAGTGCAAAATGAATGGACACAAAAGTAACTCTCAGTCAGTGAATGTTGATTTGAACCATAATATGCGATCATTTATTTTACAAATCATACAAAATTGACTAGAGTACACCTGATTGTGAATAATTAATTTCATATAAAAAGTTTGGGACCAACAATAACAAGCTTTTAACTTCTTAAATGTTAACCACACTTAAATAGAAACACAAACGTCAGTTTAGATGTTAAACACCAGACATTTGAGGCTGTTTATCTTAGGAGTTGGCAAGGAAGAGGTTAAGAAAAAGGTTGAAGAAAGATGTTAGCTTTCTTATAATTTTTATCTTAAATAATGTGAGTTTTAACCAGAAGGGCGAAGCGTTCTGTGCTCAGCTTTGGTCAGACCTCGACGTCACACACAGCCAGCTTTTACCTTGAGATGATGGTCTGTCACCTGCCAGGTAGGTGGGGGCGCTGCTGGAGAATCTGTCTTTAGACTGTCGAACAGGGGACCCCAAGGCGTGCTCTTTGACTCGTTTACGTCCACGTCAGCCGTAACCAGAAGACAAGGCCTCGACTGGAACCCAGGTTGTAAATAAAACTTCTGTCTGGAGAGTTTCTGAAGGTGGATAAACCAGGCGTGGTTTTCCACACTGTGAGGTTTCCCCGTTGGCGTGAAGGGGCCAAACCTGACAGTTTTCAGCTTTTGATTCCCCGGAGAGAAACTAGCTGTCACAATGACTGATGGTGGTCCGTTACCTTACTGTTCTGCTAGACGGGCAGAAACTGTTAGTTCCTAATAGCTTAGAGAATCTATGGTCCGCCCTCCAGAAGGTTAGATTAGAAAAAGAAATTATCAAGGAAAGTGTTAGTTTCAGAACTTGCTGTCCCCTCCTGAAATTAAAACAAATATTATTGCTGCTTGTGTGGTTCAGAACAACACATTTCATGACCCATTTAAATTATCTGATGAGCACTTATTTAAAACATAACTGAAAGAAAAACAAATTGCTTCAGGTTCAAAACATTTGCAAATATGATTCAGACAAGTAAAACATTGATATTTCATCAACTTAAACCATAAAGATTATTTTAGTTAAATAAGAATTTTTCCACAGAAAAACCATACATAGCTGAAATCATACTGAGGGAGAAAATACATTTGTCCTCTCTTCTCCTGTAACTTTGATAAACATTCTCTGATTTTCAAAATGCGTAATACTTTCAGTTAAGAGAACAATAAATCAGATAAGAGAAGATTCTTCTGTTTTTATCTGATTTAGAAGGAAAGTGACCTGGGGTGGCCTAAATACAGTTCTAAGTGGAACAGAGTTTTTGTCCATTCGAAGGCCCATCAGAGGACTGAGAGTCCAAGACAGTTCCTTGATAATTTGACTCAAGGTGACCCCTACACCAACATGTCACGTCAGATTCAACAAACTCTTCTATCTTCAGGAAAAGTGTGAGCAGCGTAAACTGATGAATGTGTATCAGCTGCTTGTGAACGAGGAGATAAGATTAACATAATTAACACCATAAAACACCATATAAGTCTACGTTTCCTGCCTCAGCTACAAGGAAGTGTTTGTTCATGAATGACATCGCAAAGTGTAAAAAAGAAGAACTTTACAAGTTTGAAGATTAAAGTCCTGCTCTCAGAGATCCAGAAAAGAAAATCTGTCATTTTTAGCAGTGTCAGCTGTGGAATTAAAGGAGCTGCTGAAGCTCAGGAATGAAATTACAACTGCTGTTGATGTTGTGTCTCCTGTGGGTCGTTACAGTCATAGAATATAAAAATGTAAACATAATCTGACAACATGTCAGATCACATTAATATTGTACTGTTATACAACAGCATTAATAGCCAATTTACCCAATTAGTCTACATTATTACATTTAAAATCTAATTCCAGTTCAAACAGAATAACCTACTGTCAACATAATTATGGAGTGTGATTTATTTTCAACTCAAAATATCTTCAAACTAATGAAATATAAAGTTATTAGTGAAGAAAACCCGTCTGGATAACAGCAGACTGACTGCTGGTAAAATATACGACAGGTCTGGACCACTGTAGCAATAACTTGGATTGGAATATCAAATCCAAACTTTGTTTACCTCAAGACTGTGGCCCCATCACCTGACTCTGCCCATGTTTACAAGAGAACAATGACTTATTCATTTACCTCCAAAACCTTTGTTTATTATCTACGAGTGGTAAGATAACAACAGGATGTGACCACCTCCTATTGATTAAGTACTGTGTATGAACCCCTTTGATGTGCTC